AGATAATGCTGATCTTTCTTGCTAAACTAGCTCACATCAAATGTTCAAATTCCTAAATACTACACAAAAATGTTTAAGAAAAATGCTAATTACCACCCAATACAAGGCTCAAGAACCCCTCAAGAGTCAGTCAAAATGGTATTACTGAATGAAATGTGTGATATAAATGGAAGAGAAGAAAGTAAGAAGTAAAGATTATGAGAAAGAGGAAGAATGGTGACAAATTTTTGTTTAAAAATGAAAATCAACCATTTGCCCTTGCATGGAATACTGCTGCCATATATGACCTGGAACCCCTGCTGTTCGTCTTAAGGTCCTCGACAAAATCCAGAGACAGATATGCAATGCGATTGGCCTCGATCTGGCATCTCATTTACAATTGCTCTCTCACAGACACGCTGTCACTTCCCTCCATCTTTTCTACAAATACTTTCATGGTAACTGCTCCAATGAGATACTTTCGCTAGTTCCAAAACTGCATGAATTTAAACATGCTACTATAGCATTTCAGTCCCACCCTTTCACTGTTGAAACAGTTAAATGAAGCTGTCTCTTCTACTCCAATAGTGTCATGTCTTGCACTTCCTGTCTGTGAAACTCCCTTCCTCTTACTTGCTTCCTTGATAGCTCTAATCTCCAACTATTCAAATGCAATGTCAATTGACATCTCCAGATGACTTGATCTAGTCCCCGTCCTTCTCTTCGTCCTTTCCTCTTTCACGCCTCTTTACTCTTGCTCCCAGCCTCTGTAACCCCTTGCATGTTAGTGGCACTCCAGCCTTGCTTAGGGTGAAAAGCTTAAAAAAAAATATCTGTGATTAAAGTTTATGACAATCTACTTAAAAAAAAATTGCTTGGCACTACAAAAAAAAAAAAATGTTAATGGTGTGTATATGTGTTCATGTCAAAATGCTACCAGTGTGGATAAGTGGTAGGATAATTATTTTATTGAAAACTTTAAGAATAAAAGTGAACTGACTGAAGGGTTTAAAATAAATATTTTTATTTTCTTTAGAGCGGTGAGTGAATTCTTTGGTATTTGGCATTGCAAAAAGTTTTTAATAAAACAGATATTGCTAGCAGTCTGGAAAAATGTCTGTTAGTAGTTGTTTAGGAGTAAGACCATGATAGGGGTCATAGTAGTAATGCGAGAAATTAGGTCAGTATCAATCTACTGTGTTCTTTTTGACCCAAAAACAGGGTGGAAATGTCAGTAGCCAATGACCTCTTAACTACTTCTTCACATGTCACACATAGCTGCGTTGTTTTGTTCCATCCTTCCCTCGGTGACATTTTAGCGCCATCTGCCACACTAGTGACATTCAAGGCATGAACACGCATGCTACACTGGTGACCCCCAACTTGATATGAACAGAGGCTACAATGGGGGGGGGATAATAATAATTTTATAGCTGTACTGATAAAGACGTTTATTACTTCATCTTCAAAAATTCCAATGTTTTCCTTACACACTGAATTGTCCGCTATATATTAAATAAAGGGTTCAGTTCAGAATTCAGTGTAGGTTACTTGGATTGATATATACCTGATAAAGATCAGAGGGCACAATGGCCGAAACAATGTGATAACAACAACAAAGATGAGGACAATAGTCCAAATATAAATAGTGTGAGTAAAATTATTTCTGTTCAAAAAATTAAAAAAAGTCTGGAGTAGTTTTTTTTTTTTTTCCAGAGAAAGATAAAAAATGCATGGCCGGATGGAATTATGAAGCTGACTGAAAGATAACAGTCCCTATAAAAATAATAGGAGTTTCCAACTAATGAGTCCCTATAAAATAACAAATTTTTGTTGCTTCAAATCAAGATATTGACACCAACAATCAATTATCTGATATGGCCAACATTGGTATGAAGCAAAGTTTTGAATTCTCAACTTATTGGGTTTATTGTGTTTTATGGCATATTAATACCTCAATGGGTTATTTAATGCTGGCAAGATTTTTAGGATATGTTCATATGAATAGAATATGTATTCTTTGTAAGAAATCACTTTGTAGATCAGGATTTGGGTTTATTTTGTCATATCAACACCTCAATAGGTTATTTAATGCTGACAAGATTTTTAGGATATGTTCATATGAATAAAATATGTATTCTTTGTAAGAAATCACTTTGTAGATCAGGATTTGGGTTTATTTTGTCATATCAACACCTCAATAGGTTATTTAATGCTGACAAGATTTTTAGGATATGTTCATATGAATAGAATATGTATTCTTTGTAAGAAATCACTTTGTAGATCAGGATTTGGGTTTATTTTGTCATATCAACACCTCAATGGGTTATTTAATGCTGACAAGATTTTTAGGAGAGGTTCATATGAATAGAATATGTAATTGTAAGAAATCAGTTTGCAGATCAGGGTTTGGGTTTGTTTTACAGCATATCAACACCTCAACAGGTTATTTAATACCGACAAGATTTTTAGAAAAGGTTTGTATGAATAAAATATATATTCTTTGTAAGAAATTAGTTTGCAGGTCAGGTATCATTGACATACTTTTGTAAAGAGGATTTGTGTCAAGAGTCAAATGTATTGCTGGTAATATATATTTTTTTTTCCAAAAATGTATTGCTGGTATTTTTACTACAGAAATCTTAACCCCTAGTTTGGAGGTTAACTATTTGCCCTTAGCTTAAACCCTAACAGGTGCTACCACCCTGGGTCAGGGTGGACCTGGGAATAACATGCACCTCAAAACCTCCCACTCAGATGCCTTGCTGCTAGATGTAGTTTATTGTCATACCCAAGACACTCAACTTATTGATCAAGCCCATCTGAACTTCTGGACACCTCAATTTTTTTTTCCTTATTTTAAAATTTACTTCAAAATTTTAAAGCCTACAAAAGTTTTAAATTTTAATATTTAATCTTAACTTGAAATTTTTCTCTTCAAAAAGCAAAATTTATATTCAAATGAAGTATTAATTCCAGTTATAGGAGAATTTCACATTCAAAAATATACTTTTGGGACATTTCAATTTTAAAAACAAGACAATCCAAATCAAAGTGCAATTTCAGTTTTTATACCTTTAAAAGGAAATCACGTTAATTTTTTTGTTAATTTTTCTTTCAAAATGTAGTTTTTGATGGTATGTAAAACAATCCCATATTTAAATTTAATATTACACTGTTATAGAGTTTGATAATTGTTAATCTTCAATGAACAAACATTAGCTGCATAGATACCATAACTTCAAATATCAGACCCAAGAGATATTTCTGAGCCATTTTGGGGGGGCTTACATGCCATCAAATACAAAAGTTATAGTTTTTACATTACAAGTCAAACAAGTCAACAAGAAATCTTGGAAGGGAATTTAGTCAACCATCTTGAGCTGTACTTCAACTGCAGTTGTTATTTACTAGCTTGTTAACCATTACCCTATACCAAGGTGCCGGAGCTTAGTTTGACACAATTTCACTATTATAGGAGCATCCAGTGAGGAACAAACTCACTACTCAGTAGTAATGGTCAACCAGACTAGCTTGTTAACCATTACACTATGTTGAGGTGCCCTACTTTAGTTTGGCACAAGACAACAAAATGCAGGGCACTCAGTGAGGAACAAACTCACTACTCAGTTGTAATGGTCAACCAGACTAGCTCAGTAACCATCAGCCCCACTCCAAGGTGCACTTGCTCAAGGCTAAAATTATAGGTGCAAGCAGTGAGAATCAAATTCACCACTCAGTAGTAATGATCAACTAGACTAGCTCGTTAACCTTTACACCAGTGGTTTCCAAATGGTGTGACATGCCTCATAGGTGCAGCAGAAGATGATAGCAGGTGAAGTGGAATGATTGAAAGACAAAGATTTAGAAACAGTTCCAAAAATTCATAAACCAAAAATAAATATGATTTTAAAATTGAAAATATTATTATGGATTACTTGTAAATGCATGCAGGAGTCCCAGTATAAATAGTTATAAATAATTATTGACCGATTTTGTCATTGTGATATTTTTGCATTAAGAATATAGTAACTAGGGTCTGTAAAATTGGAGGAGAAAGTTATCAATGACAATGATCTGACTTTGAATCTGTGGTTATCTCCCTTTAATCCTCTATTCTTTTAATTTTAAATGTACTTTTTATCACATAAAATATGGTAAGGCGCAAGCAAATTTTAATTCTGAAAATGAAGTCCTGAGAAAAAAAAGCTTGAAAACCACTGAGGTTCCCATGCTTCAATGACAGTTTTCTGCTCCTTGCTTAGTATTGTCATGTTTCCTTGCATTCTTTTCATATTGGAAACTTGAACCATCATTATTTAATTTGTTTTTTTATTAAATATTCTTGTCAAACTACCATATCTGATGGTATATAAGACCCCACTGGTGCTATTTAATATTACAGTCTTATGGAATTAGGCACTGTACAAGTACTTTTAGTCAATGTCATCTCAGTAAATATTTACCTACTAGATATCTCAACTTTACACATTAGACCAAAGATATGTTTCTCTTGAAGGAGAAGAAATATGGGGGTCTTATATGCCAACAATTACAGGTTTATTAACAAAAACTAATTTTTTATCGATACTTAAACAAATAAATTTTGATAACCAAAAATTGAAACGTTATTTAAAGAACCTTAAATTTGTTTATTTTAAAATAACTTTTTAATTTTCAGCCATCAGGAATATTTTTTTTTCAAGTGAATAGATAAAAGAAAAGTAACTTTTTAGCTACCATGCATATTTTTCAAAATTGTAATGAAAATATAAAATATTCTAAATTCAAATGCAGATTCTAAATTTGTTGTTTAAATTCTACAATGAAAAAATGACTAAGCAAATGTGATTTAAAGTAGAAAAAAAAACTAAGGTTTTATTTGTGTAGGAATGTGGTGAGTGTTATGAATGCTGGGATATAAGGGTTAAGAAATAAGGTAAATATAAGCTCAAATACACAATGAGTTTATGAAGTATGAAATGGAACAATTAAAATTAAAAAAGGAAGAGAAATAAAAGTCATGTGATAAAAGGAAAAAGAGAAGAAAGCGAAAAAAAAATGGATGCAAAAGAAAAAAGATAGGAAACAATAATAAGAGAGCAAAGATGAGCAAGTAATTCAGGAAAAATTATTGGAAAAGGCAAGAGAACAATAATAATAAAGATGAAAGAAAGAAACAAGTGAATGAAAATGAAAAAGAAAGAATAGAATACAAAATAAGAAAAATTAAAAGACAAGAAAGGAAAGAGTGTGGGAAAAGAAAAATAACAAGAACCACAAAAGGAAGAAAGAGAAAAGAAAAAAGGAACAAGAGGGGGAAAAAAGAGGAAAATGAAAAACCTAAAAAGGGTAGAAAGAGAAAAGAAAAAGGAGAAAAAGAGCAAAAAAAAAAGGGAGAAAAGGGAGAAAAGGGAGAAAAGGGAGAGGAATGGGGGGGAGGAAAGAAACAGAAAAGAAAAAGGAGAAAAAGAACAAAAGCTAAAAAGGGAAGAAAGAGAACAGGAAGAGGAACAAAGGGGGGGAGGAAGAACCAAAAAGGGAAGAAAGAGAAAAGAGAGGAATAAAAAGAGTAATAAAAATGGAAATGAAGATTAAAAAAAATTGTAGGTTAGTGAATGAGTAAAAAAAAAAAAAAAGAAAATAAAAACTGTGCAATAAAACCAACAAAAAAACAACACAACCAAATTATTTAAAATGGTAACCACAATTAAAAAAAAGATAAAATGAAAAATAAAAAAATGTGTAATAAAAACAAATATACACCTAAAAGCACAACAAAATTATTTAAAATGGTAACAATAAAAATAAGAAAAATAAAGGAAAGAAATAAAAATGTGTAATAAAATCAAATATGCACAAAAAAAACACATTAAAAATCTTTTTTAATATAAAAACAGAAAAAAATGTTAGAAATAACTGAGGCCATATTTATCTTTTAAAAAATTAGTTTCCATCTTTTATTTACAAACACTTGTTTATTGAATTTAAATCTTTTGCCAAACAAATTTTTAAAAGTGCATATACATCTGAAGATAAAGTTCACACCTCTAGTGCTTCATCATAATATTCTATCATCATTTATGCACCACATTCCTTCAGAATGTGGTCAATCATGGCTCTCCACATCTTCCTTTATTTTGTAGTCCTAAGCAACTTTTGACTTTTTACCATCCCTCCTTTATTGCACTTACGAACTTCATCCATTCATAAATTACATAAGTTTGTTACTGTTTCTCTCTATCATTTTATTAAAGTGAGTATTAAATTTACCAAGCTGTCTTTCCTTCATATAGTAAGTTTTGGTCCCACTTTATGTCTTTGTAGCAGACATGTGTAAACTGAGTAAATATTTAAGCACCTCATTCCAATAATATCTAGTAAGTTAGTCGAACAAACCATAAGTGTAGAATGTTTGATTTGTACTGGGTGCTCCACATTCATTGCCTTGTGCCAGACTAAGTTTGTTTTTTAATGCCATTTCCCTTTATGTCTCTACACACATTGCTTTTATTTAATATATGCGAATTCTTATGGTTACATAGAGTAATGGTGTAGCTCCTATGGTAAGAAATTCAGAAAAAATTCTCTTAGACTGGTTGCCACACAAGGCTAGAGAGACCCACTATTTAACCCATAGCTGGTAGGAGAAGAGATGGATTAATGTATTTCCCAAGAACAGTAGTGTGAAAGTGAGCACAAATTAGACCAGAGTTTGAACTAAGTTCACCAATTCCACTTCCCACACAGATAACCATTATCTCGGCAATGCAAAGAATAAAACATTTTCAAAATTCACCCAAAAGAAAATGGCTATCTAAAGGATAGAATATAGAATAGGCATCTGTTTATCTCATAAGGTAAAAGTAGCATCCTGTTTGGTCAAACTTCTGTCTTTTGGTGGTAAAACTGAAGTGACATCTTCAAGGTACAGATGTAGACAATGGTATAGCCTGTCTATAATCTTCAGGTAGAATTGTTAACATTTTGGGAGAGAAATCAATGTAACATAAAACCACATTCACAAGAGGAATCTTGGACATTTGATTGAACACTATGACAATCTACTTCAAAAAAAAAAAAAATTGCTTGGCACTACATGACTATTATATAGCAGTCAATGTGCCATAAAACCAATTTCAGAATTGATTAAAGACTATAAGAATCTGCATCTTTTATATACAGTGTTCCTTCAAGACATTGGCAATCATGGCTCCTCACAATTTCCTGTCCTTTGTAGCTCTTAATAAATTTTGTTATCTCTCCTAAACTCTGTTATGCCATACATTTACCCAAGCTCAATAGGTAGGTTATGCATTGTTTTATTCTGTTGTTCTTATTTTCAATCTGTCCTTTGAGTATCAAATTTTCCACACCTTCTTTCCTCATTATGCGCCCTAGAAATTTCAACTCTCTTTCTGACAAGTGTCCTTTTTGCTTCTATTTTCTTTAAAACTGTTATTGCTCACGTAATGATCCATGCATTGGTCTATAGTATTCTCAACATATTTCTGTAGAACCACTTTTCTTTTGCTATAAGTTTCTTCTTCATCTGTGAGGAGATTGTCCAGCATTCACTGAGCATTGATATTATGCATAAGTTCAGTACTCTTTTCTTAAAAATCCTTATTTGGCACCATATGACCAACATGTAGGAGTCAATGTGTCATAAACCACATTCAGAATGAGAATCTACTTAAAAATGCTCATTTGACACTATATGACCATTGTATAGGAATCAATGTGCCTTAAAACCTTATTCAGAAGCATAATGTTAGACTACTTAAAATTCTTTCTTTGGTATATAACCATTATATAGAAGTCAATAGGCCATAAAAACAGAATAAAAAATCTGATATGATTAAATCTACTTAAAATGCTTGTTTGACAGTATATGACCAATATATAGGAGTCAATGTGCTATGAAGCAGCAATCAAAATAAAATTAACAAAATATATGCAATCTTTTATAATGAGTCAGAGGATTAATTGCTAACATATTTGCATGAAAGCAATCATCAATTTTTAAAAAAACAATTCATAAAAAAATTTGAGTGCTAAATGTTTTCACAATTTTGGTTAACCAATAAAACAAAATATGGCCTCAATTTATTCTTTTTGTTAGGAATTATGCTGTGGCAAAACAAAAATGTTACCCTTGCCAAAAACTAAAACAAATATGGAGGACACACTCTGATCTGCAGGTAAGTTTTTTTTTGTTTTTTTAAGAAAAAGCCTTGAAAACATTAGCCTATTTTAAATTGAACAATATGATCATAATTATTGCTGTATTAAATAAATACAAACTTTATAGCCATTGTGGGAAAAGGTCATTCTAAGCTAAGGTTAAGCACATATCACAAAGAATTGGTGATTTTAAGTTACTAAAACATTTAGTCCCATTCTCCAACAATAACTTGACACAGTAAAGTACTTCTAGTAAAAGTCCATTGATTTCCTTTTATTTGACTCATTGTTGTTTTTTAGTCATGAGAACCAAGGCCAATACAACCAACATAAGCAAAATAAAATCAGAATAAAAAAAAAAGAAAAAAAAAAAGCAGTGTCCCATATTTTGGGAGCACATCATACATGGACAACACCTTACTTACCTGGCCCAGCTAAACTGCAATGGAGGTTCAAGCGTTAAAAAAATGAATATAATGTATTCCACCCCCAGGGTGCTCTTCTCCTAGGTTTTACCTCTCCTTCAAGAGTATATCAGAGTCATTACCAAAAAGGAAATGCTGAGAGACTGTGACAAATTTTTATTCCCAGTTCATGTATGCATGTCTAAAAACCCACTTTAAACATGACCTTGTGTCATATTCCACTTAAATAGGTGTGATTAAATACCTAAATGGACAACAATTTAACCAATTCAGTCATAGAAAACTTGTAATTTCTTTTTCTTTCTTTAGAATTTATTCTTATATTAGCAGGCATGGTGGTATTCAACCAAAAAAATTGTGAAAAGCAACAATAAATTAAAAATTACTAAAAAAATAATGAAAATATTATTCATAGAATTTGAAATGAACTGAAGCCTATGACTACAAGAATAAACAAAGAACATGGTAAAAAAAAAAAGAATCAAAAGAGAAAAGTGGCAAGATGACTTCAAAAGCTATTGAAAGCAAGTTTTAGGCAGTTAAAATGGTTGACAAATTATCAGGTCAACATTTTTTTTTTTTGTCTTCTTTTTTATATTAATACATCAGTACTTACCTGATGCCCTTTATACCTGAGGAAGGTTGGAGAACACACCAAAATCAAAATACTCATAATCCACAGAATATTAAAAAAACTATCTCACAACATTTAAAACTGTTCATTGGCTGATTTTAACACCTGAGGAAGGTCAGAGACTGGAACAAATTGTTGCATTATAAATAATATTGAAGATACTCATCTATATAATCGATGGAATATTAACAAGATTTCATCTCAGAACATTTAAAACTGTTCACAGACTAATGACAATACCTGAAGATGGCTGGAGACCGAACCAGCCAGTACACAAAATAATGAAGATACTCATTCTGCATAATCATGAAATACTGACAAAACTTCATCCCAGAACTTTTGACATTTAAAACTATTCACATGATGCCCTTTATACCCAGTGATGGCCGGAGAATGAGCCAGACAAAACATGACGTCCTTTTTTGTATAATGACCAGTTAGTCATACAAAAATTAAGAGTCTTATATAGAGCCAAGAAAATAACTCTGAACAAAATCAGTGAAATAAAAATAAGAAAATAAACTTCTGAAAAATAATAAAACAAAATAAAATTATTCAAAAAAATAAATATGTTCAATTGCTTTCATATTGCAAAAGCATGTTTCTATCAATTTCAGTTTTCAGATGAAACAATTTTACTTAATAATTTTATGACTAAGTAATTATTACTAATATTATAATATTTGCTTTTTATCACAATACCTTAGGCCAATAAACACTTTTTTTAATATTATTTTTTGAAAATTTCTCTGATTTAACCAGTAGAGAAGACAATATTTATGAATAAAAATGACAATAGGAAAACTGTTCATTGCTGATGCATTTCGTCCAATGTGGACTTTATCAAAGCAAAATACGAAAATGAAATTAATTGAATAAAGTAACTAATAAAAACAAAAACAGAATGAAAATTACCCAAATATTAATCTACACCCAGGTTTTTTCCCCATTTCACCTTTCTTAACAAAATTAATTCTCTTACAAACAAATATACACAACAGATTCATAAAATCAAAAGAAAATGGTTGAATACATCAACACAGATATAATGACAATATTCTCCACACGTGACAAATACTGACGTTATTTTTCAGTTAAAATATGAAAATAGCGTTTCTCTACATTCCAGTTGCTCGGTACATTCTGTTTTTGTTTTTATTAGTTACTTTATTCAATTAATTTCATTTTCATATTTTGCTTTGATAAAGTCCACATTGGACGAAACGCATCAGCAA